TGTTAATATCACTGGCGTAGTGGCTAGGCGCTGTCCTCGGGCCTGAAGGTTTTAGGTTCAAAGCGGCATTTTACCTACAATGGGCTGCTGGTTACATGATTGACCACCTAAAGAAAACAGTCTCAGTCTGGATGGCAAGCCAGCAATCTCATATAAGTGAAACCTTGTTAACATAAAACTCGCTTAAAACGAACACTGGGTTAACGCGAACAGAATTTTGGTCCAGGCAGGGAAGGCTCAAACATGGACCTAACGAACATCCAAGACCTAAAAAACATGTGGCAACGAACCGCCAGACATGGGAGAGCTATGACCTCTGCCCTATACGCCGCTCTAGACTCAAGAGAAAAGACTAACTTAACCGTTTGGTAGTCACCACCAGTAAGGGCATAGTGATTGATCATTTAGTTTAAAAAAAAAACAAAAAAACTACCTAGTAAACCAGAGTTTACCCAGTGACCGTTGTTACTAGAAGCCACCAGGAAGTGGGGGACAAAACTGGTCGCTGAGGCCATGAAGGCCGCGAGATCAATACCTTTTCTCTTATTGCCATTCACGGATCACGTAAGAAGGCCTGCACTGATCTTTAGATATTTTATAGTGCTTGGTTGTAGTTATTATTCTATCAACCGTTTTAAGGGCCGTTGTAGAGAATACCGAAGGAAAGATCAGGCTGCAAAGGTAGCACATGGTCTCTACAGTACTGCCCAGGCATTGTGCCTTTAGAGAAAAGAAACGTCATCCCTGACCAAATTTGATATTGGCATTGGATATAATTCCCATAGCTCGCTATAGCACAGTGGAACATGATCGCATGAAAAGGCAAAGGGACGTTTAAAAAAAAAAGTCCACAATTGGGACCTGTAGTAGTTCACTGATTCTCATATCTAGTCAGACTTGTCACATATTCCGCTTCTATATCCTCTTCATGTCGCTGTTGACACATAAGGCATTCACATGTGAACTCCATTCCTGCTTTTCTGCCCATGGTATCCCATGTCAGTTTACCTTCCTTTATTTCCCGTTCTGTTGTCCTTCTCTAGGTTTCCTTAGGTCGCCCACGACTCCTTTTCCTATACGCTATCCACCGGAGAGCTGTTTTTGCCAGAGTGTCACAAGACATACGGCAAATATGTCCAAGCCATCTCCATCGTCTTACTTTGATAACATTTGCCAGTGATGCACATTCTGTTTTCCTCCTCAGTTCTTCATTTGTGATCTTGTTTGGCCAAAATATTCGTAGAATTCTCCTTAAACATTTATTATGAAAAGTCTCAGTTTTATATTTCAAGTTTATTCCGCTTACCAGACAGAAATTTGATTTTCATGGGAGGTCAGTTACGTGATTTGTGTCTATTCTTTGTGGTATTGAATTGATGTAATGTGCCGATTTAGGCTTTCTAACCGAAACGTTCACTTGTCTTTTGTGTTTGTGATATTCTAAATTGTCTGTTTGTACTTTTCGTTTCGTTTGATATCTTGTCATGATATTAGTTTAATGGTTGGTACTCTTGCATGTCGGCTGATTTGTCTTTAGTTCGACTCCCTATCGAAGCTTTGGGCTATTGTGAAACATGGATCCGTACTTATGGCCCTTGCTGTTGGTCAGTTCCTGAAAACACATCATGTAGTCCCAAAGGAAGTGCTGCTGGCCAAAGAATTCAGTATGATAATGCGGGCTGACCGGTACACTTCTGGTATGGCGTCCGTTTCTACATAATGTCGAGGGTTTCAGGACAGTCGCTGGACATCTAAGTATAAAGGTTGGCAGACTTCATACTAGTTCGGAAGAAATGCCAGTATCAAAAACGAACCTCCGATCTATGCCAACGAAGAATATTGGTTCTCATCCCCTGCCACCACTGAAAATATAACCCCTTCCTCTGCCACCACTGAAAATATAACCCCTTCCTCTGCCACCACTGAAAATATAACCTCATCCCATGACACCACTGAAAATATAACCTCATCCAATGCCACCACTGAAAATATAACCCCTTTCGCTGCCACAACTGAAAATCTAACCTCATCCAATGCCACCACTGAAAATATAACCTCATCCAATGCCACCACTGAAAATATAACCTCATCCCATGCCACTACTTAAAATATAACCCCTTCCTCTGCCATCACTGAAAATATAACCCCAACCCATGCCACCACTGAAAATATAACCCCCAACCCACGTCACCACTGAAAATATAACCCCTTGCCCTGCCACTTTTGAAAATAAAACCCCATGCGACGCCATTACTGAAAATATAACCCCACCCCTTGCCACTTTTGAAAATATAACCCCTTCCCATGCCATTACTGAAAATCGGACACGATGAGCCAACAGACACATTTCGCAGCATAGCTGTAAACAGTCTTTTCTAGGGTGGATGCAGCAGAAGACAGAGAAGAACAACATGACTCAGAGACACTACTGCTAACAACTGAACCATGATCGATAGATAGCACGGTACTTAATTTATAACTTACCCCTGACGTCACGACAACGTCACGGGAAACATTCCCAATAAATTCTAGGGTGTTCAGGTTGTACTTTCTCGCGATTTATCTACAGCCAAGTTTAGGGTTAGGGTTAGCATTAGAAGACACTAGATTAACACTAAAAAAAAAAAAAAGCACCACACAACAGCACACTTCCACCCCTTCAAATAATGGGCTGTCAGGTCAGCTGTGGATTTCCCACGGGGATTTCGTGTTTGGGGTACGTTATAAATTAAGAACCGATAGCACTACTGGAAATTGGACCCAAGGACTGTGGCGGACAAGCATATGGCCCCTAATGAATAGATTTAAATACAATTGTTTTGTAAGAAATCGCGATGTTAAAATTAACCAGCAACTAGAGCGTAAAATACATGAGAAGAGCAGGTTACAAAATAAAAGGAGCGCCAAGAAAATGATGGGTAGATGGAGTAAAAGAGACACCACAGTAACGCAATATGACATTAACACAAGCTATTCTACTTGTAAAACACAGGAAACTACAACTAAGTCCTCCTCTCTTGCGACGTGTTGCAGTGTAAGCCAGCGATTCTCAAACTGTGAGCCGCGGCACCCCGGGAACCACGACCTCTTCAAAGGGGCGCCGCGAAATATTGTAAAAGCTTCATAATTTATTTAACCAAGACACGAATAGTCATACTTTTACTCAGGTTAGGGCACCATGGAAAAATTTTAATTATTAAAAAAAGGGCGCCGCGACCAAGAAAAGTTTGGGACACACTGGTATAAGCAGTAGCACAAAGGAAGAAGAAGAATCGTGATATTGACATATGCCCCCTGGGTAAAGTCCCTAGCAACGAGCATTACCACAGAGCTAACTTTAAAGTGCCATGGTTAATCAAAAACCTGAAACGTCAGCCGTAGCTAACAAAAATGGAGTCCTTAATCACACATTGATCTTTGCACCTAATGGTCCGTGTGATGACACTGTTTTTCAATCTAAAGGCATTTTAATAAAACCACTGGTGGTATCCATTAGTGTAAGCAATAGCTTACCAGTCTCTGGTCTCTACTGCCGGCTCGTGTAGGCGACCACATTCCCAGTGTCTAGAGTAGTGGTTCTATGGTACAACCGCCACGAAAAATAAATAAACCCACCAATGCCGGCGTCGCTCCTGGTTGTTGCTGCTACTTCTACTACTGTTCCTACAGTTACTTTCACCACTGCTGCTGCTGCTGCTGCTGCTGCTGCTACTACTACTACTACTACTACTACTACTACTACTACTACTACTACTACTACTACTACTACTACTACTACTACTGCTGCTGCTGCTGCTGCTACTACGGCAGCTACTGCTAATGCTGCTACTACTACTGCCAATGCTGCTGCTACTACTACTACTGCTGCTGGTACTACTACTACTACTACTACTACTACTACTACTACTACTACTACTACTACTACTACTACTACTACTACTACTACTACTACTACTACTACTACTACTACTATGATTTCTTCTTCTTCTTCTTCTTTTCTTCTTCTTCTTCTTCTTCTTCTTCTTCTTCTTCTTCTTCTTCTTCTTCTTCTTCTTCTTCTTCTTCTTCTTCTTCTTCTTCTTCTTTTCTCCAGAGGAAAGTTCCAGCAGTTCGTTCATTTCATGATTCTGGTCTTGTTCTAAAAGTAGAGGTTTGCGTGCACATCCGTTTTACAGACATAGCTTATTTGTACGAGATTGCTGGTTCCTCGCCTCGCATGCCGGTGCACTCTGACTGCTAAAGACGCATCCATAATTCTTGTTTTATAACCCCCTTCCCCCCCCCCCCCTTTCCGGCCCACAGTCGAACCACATTAAACCGAAGGGTGATGACCCCAAGACCGTTAGGCCGGCAGCTAACTTTTTGTATACTAAAAAGTTATTCAGCTGGCGGCCGGCGGACAAAATCTGGCCCACCGAGGCCTAGCAAGTGGCTCACGGATCATTGCCAGTTGTATTGTATTAATGATCTTTCTACGGTAAGGTTTAGCCTTCTGGCCCGTGACTATCCTTATTTCCCAATTGTGGCCCCTTGGTAAACATAGTTGAATAGCCCTGGTCTACTACCTTACCGCGGTTGGCGTTTCAATTATGATGCTAGTGTTATAGTTTTTCATCGACACCCTACCGATCATGCTGGCCGCCTTTACTTCTGATGAAGTATCATTGTGTCCATTTTATGTTGGTTGACTTAGGAGCCCAGGTCACTGAAAATGCACCCTCTCCCCTTCCCCCTGTGGAGATTCGAACACTTGCCTTACATGTGGGAGTTCATGTGTCATTTCCTAGGTCATATTTCATAAAATGTCATTTCTTAGGTAGCATTTTACAACATATCGTTTGCTAGTTCATATTTCATAACATGTCATTTCCAGTGTAATATTTCATAGAGTGCCATTTCCTTGTAAAATTTTTTATAGTGTCATTTCCTAGGACATATTTCATAAAGTGTCATTTCCTAGGATATATTTCATTGCTCACATTGATATATCGTCTTCACAGACCGACTGTATTGAAACAGCAATATCACCAGATCCACAGCCTCAACAGCATACATCGCCGCCCATCATGCTCCACCCACCCAAACAACAGCAACAGCAGCTGCAACAGCATCATCAACAGCAGCAGCAGCAGACGCAGAAACGCAGCGTTGGCGTGGATGTACGCAGTATTGGAGTTCTTACGGAGCCGGAGTCGCTGGGCCCCTGTGAGCCTGGGACACAGGTGGGCCTGGAGGGCATTGTGTGGAAAGAGACTGACAACGGTGAGTGTATATCGTTGTGTTACATGCAGATGTTTTCTGTTCAGTCGAGTAGTTGGATTATGTCTTCTCAGTGAAATCTGGTTCCAGTCTATCTCTGTTCGTCCACGTCTCTGATTCTCTCTCTCTCTCTCTCTCTCTCTCTCTCTCTCTTTCTCTCTGTGTGTGTGTGTGTGTGTGTGTGTGTGTGTGTCTCTGTCTCTCCATCTTTTATCTCTTGCTGTCTCACTCTCTGTCTCTATCTTTCCTTCCTATTTCTCACTGTCTCACTCTGTCTCATATACACACATTAATTATTCACTCACATTTCTCCTTCATCCACATTACACACTGACTCACATTACATATTCACCCACATTACTCATTAACTCACATTACATTACACCCACATTGCTCATAAACTTACATTACACATTGATCCACATTACACATTCACCCAGATTACTTATTCACCCACATTACACATTGATCCACATTACACATTCACCCAGATTACTTATTCACCCACATTACACATTGATCCACATTACACATTTACCCAGATTACTTATTCACCCACATTACACATTCACCCTCATTACTTATTCACCCACATTGCTCATTAACTCACATTATACATTCACTGACATGTCTCATTAACTCACATGTCTCAATCACTCACATTACACACTCACTTACATGTTTCATTCACTCACATGTTTCATTCACTCACACATCTCATTCACCCACACGTCTCATTCACTCACATGTCTCATTCGCTCACATGTCTCATGTGCTCACACGTCTCATTCACTCACATGTCTTATTCACTCACATGTCATATTCACTCACATGACTCATTCGCTCACATCTCTCAGCTCACATGTCTCATTCACTCACATGTCCCATTCACTCACATGACTCATTTATTCAAATGTCTCATTCACTCATGTCTCATTTACTCACATGTCTCATTCACTTACATGTCTCATTTACTCACATGTCTCATTCACTCACATGACTCATTTATTCACATGTCTCATTCACTCACATGACTCATTTATTCACATGTCTCATTCACTCACATGACTCATTCACTCACATGACTCATTCACTCACATGTCTCATTCACTCACATGTCTCATTCACTCACATGACTCATTTATTCACATGTCTCATTCGCTCACATGTCTCATTCCCTCACATGTCTCATTCGCTCACTTGTCTCATTCACACACATGTTTCATTCGCTCACATGTCTCATTCGCTCATATGTCTCATTCACTCACATGTCCCATGCGTTCACATGTCTAATTCACTCATGTCTCATTCACTTACATGACTCATTCACTCACATTACTCATTCACTCAATTCCAGGATTGTTAGTAGTCAACGTCACGTGGAGAGGTAAAACTTACGTGGGAACTCTTATGGATGCTACCAGATACGCATGGGCGCCGCCAAGGTAAGAACAAGTCCTGTCTTATGTTTCACTCATGGCTGTGCTGTTGTATTTTGGTTTAAACATTAAAATAGTCCCCTACGTTTCTTATATTTTCAGTTTGGTTTCCTCTTCTTGTTAGCGTTTATTGTCTGTAAAAGTAGCTTTACAATTCTGGTTGTTCGTCCATTTTTGGATTTAGTTCGGGTTTAAGAAGTTTTGCGTGCACATCCATTTTACAGATCTTGCTTACATGTATGCAGACTGTTGGTTCCCTGCCTCTAAGGCAGATGCACTCCCACATCTGAAGGAAATATCCCTAAGTAGTTGAGTCTTACGACATGTTTGTTGGTAGGGGGGGGGGGGGGGGGGGGGGGGGTCATCTTTTTTTTTTTTCACAGTGGGCGCTGCAACCCATGCAAGGAGTTTAGTCTCCAGTCTGCATCAAGTCAGATATTTTTTTAAGTTAGCTTAGATAGCAGGCAGTTCTCTCCTAAAATGGGTGCGTGTACAATTCTGGAAAGTAATTGCGGCCGTTGACAAGTTAACCACATCACGAAGCCAGTGCCGGTTGGTCTGTAAAAATTTGAAGTGCTAAATCTTTATTTTAAAAGCACGAATGTCTTGCTGTAGCTTGTATATACATTTAAAGTCAGCTGTTTACTCCCACACCGTGATCACGAGATGGGTTCGATTTTCAGTTCGCATTATAAGCCACAGTGTCTAATTTAACAGTGACATTGGCGGCCAGATTTATGTGCATTTATTTTATTTAATGCAACAATGATTAAAAGTAAACTTTTGCTACAGTTACATCCCTTTGAATATTTCTTTTCTCTTATGTCGCTTATATTATTCTTTTTAAAATACATTTTGCTGTAAGCTGTTAAAGGATCGTTTCTTTTTAAAATTTAGCAACCATATACGTTAAATAGACGTGCAGGCCAATGTCCTCTTCACCCTGTAAATAAAAATATTAATATTTATTGCGCATTGTAACAAGATTGGGCTTATTGAGCCCTATAGTTCAAATCTCTTACCCCAGTATTTTAAGCAGTGCAGCACCAATGACCCAGAGTCACACTCATTGACGGCACTGAACGCCAGGATTTGCAGGGAACGTCAATAGCTAGGAGTGTATAATAATTTGTAAGAGAATGCAGTTAGGGGCAATGAGCAAACAAACCGCAGCCGTGGAAACAAAGGTGAAGTAGAGGACCAGAGAATACAATTTTATTTAACTATCCCTGGCGAAGGCGAGCAATCAAATCTGGTACAATATACGAAGTGAAGCGAAAAGCTTCACGGAGGGAATGGGCAAGATTGCACAAATATAGTTTGTTTGTTTTAGTACGCAGAAGCCATGAGTTGTTAACCCTTAGGCTCGGTATTATGGATATCACAACCTTTCGGCCTTGATTCTATTGTAAATACCGTAAATCTGATAGAAAATGTAGCTTTTCTGCCTAACCCCGGGAGTGAACCCAGACCACAAGGAGTTCGTCAACTGCTCACCGCGCAATCCGGTTTAGCCAACTACGCTAGAGAGCCCTTCCACAAATATAGTCGACGAGTGTCTATATCAACATATTACTAAACTTCCGGGCTAGATCCCGTCTTTTCGTCACTATGTGGGATATGCAGGCTTACTGTTCTTAGTCGCGGCAAGTTTCTGTGCCATATATCAAATTACTTCAGTTTTAGACGTATTTATTTATAGAATCAGAAAGATAGTGTGGAATGTAGAAATGAAATATGCAACTGAGATGACAAGGCGGAAGATATTGCTGTGTGATAGCATAAACAGCTGTTGCTAGATCGTTCAGCGTAATGACACATGATTTCTTTTCGTATTTGAAGTGTTTTCCTCTTGCGATGTCATTCCAGGTGTTCTCTCCATTCTGTAGGCACGTGTGTACAGGTGAAAATATGCAGTAAGCGGCGTTGCAGGAAATGGCACAAGGGAAAGATCATTCATTCATGAATGCGCCGGGATGGGGCGGTGTTGACGAGGGCCTGTCGTTTCGGGAGTTGGGATAATAGCGTTTTCTGAGTTTTGTGTTTGGCAAAATGCAAGTTGTTTTGCTTTGAGTTAAGTCTTTGTTTCTGTATATACCTGGGTTTTTTTTTACACAGTGTAAAAAGTACTTAGCTCTTTCAATCCTTGCAAACTTTGCAGTTTACCAATGGGTAAAAAACAATTAGTGTCGATAATCACGCGTGTATTTGTTGTCAAATATTTGTTAGATAGGTTAAACAAACAGTGGAATCGGCTGGAAGCTTCTTTTTCGTCTTTTTCGCGTTCACCGGCTGTAAACTCTGGCTGAAAGTTCATGGTGTTCGTCCACCTCTGGACTTTAGTCTGGTTCCAGAATCTGAGTTTTGCGTGCCCTCCTTTTCACAGATCTGGTTTATCTGTAGTTGCTTGCCTCTCAGGCAGATGTACTCCGACTTCGAAAGACAGCTCCTGCTACCTGCTTGTTGGGGATACGGTGGGCCTGTTTTTTTTCTCGCCGCCATAATGGAGCCCCGAAAGCAGAACGCCAGTTTCATTTAGTGTGCTCTGGCAAAAAAAAAAAAAAATCTTGCCTTCCTTGGAATAGTTTAGTTTAGTCGACGGATCAACATCATGGCAAATGGGGTGTAGACACGTAGGTGCTCCATTCTACTTCTAACGCACGCCTGAGTCTGAAGAATCTCAGCGCAGTGTACGAACTCCGTAGCACCGGCGAGGACCCTGAAATACTTTTTAGGGTTGATTTTGAACTTTAAATTTTGTCCGGGTAGTGCCGTTAGGCTACTTTTTTTTTAAATGTCCAACAGCTAAGGTATTTTTTACGTGCGCAACAATACACACAAGTGTCAAGTCTTTCTACTCATAGACCATGGGAAATAACTAGAACTCCATGTGAAAAAAATACCAGCCTTCAGCAGGACTTGAACCCGAGACCTCCAGCACTCGAGGCAGATGCCATACCTCGAGACCACACCGCCTCCAATAATGGCTCTCCTTTCTTGGAATGAAAAGTGTTGTGTGATAACAGTTTACTAGTTTTGAACTGTGGCGTATTACCTTTTCCTTGTATTATCATAGTTACTGACTAAGGTAAAAAATCATTTTCACACTAATGGTGCATGCTGTCAATCATGTTGTCTGTAATAGATCTCTAACACGCTCCGTCTCTTATATTGATCGTACACTCTAACAGACTGCTGTTCTACATCTCTTCATGCTGTCTTCCCGCTTATATCGTTGTATACCACTTGCTGTCTTGCGTTCGAAGCCCCCCTCTCTCCCCCCTTTTTTTTTAATTTAAAAGATGTCTTTTAATGTGGCCGAAGAAGTTTATGTGTTTGTATTTTATTTTTTATTTCTTTCACTAGTTTTTTCATTCGGATTCTGTTTAGAACCTTTGTATTTGATTGTTTTGGTTTCCATGTTATGGATCTGTTCTTCTGTACATTCACATTTCCAGAGACTCCGTTCCATTTTCTAGTTGCCCGTTATTTGTTCAATTTTCTGCACCATATAGCTGGGTTGAGTGTACATACCGTTTGACGATTCTGCGTAATGTGTTGTCTATCGCTCAAGCTGTTGCTCTACCTCAAAGTGCGGTAGTAATCATTACGATGGCCGACTTTACTTCCTATGACATTTCCTGCTACGCATTCAGTACTGAGATGGCTGGCTGAGGTTCAGCCCTACCAGGACATCACACCGAGAGATAAACACCCGGTGACACAAAAATTTCATTAACAAGGTTCAGTTTTTTTTATTTTTTGCCATGACAGGAGTTCGCTTTTTCCTTTTTTTCAAAACTCGCTCAGAGCGACATTTTGTAATATGGTAACTTCGTAATTGGGAACCAGGATAAAGAAAAGATCCGTCGTCACACAAAGTAGCAGAACCAGATACGCAGCAAGTTACAAATCATTGACAGTAAATTATATAATACCTGAATTACGACATTCTCAGAATATCTTGGACAAAGACGATTAGAAATACTGACATCTTGAAAGATCTGAACATCAAGGAAGATTTGCTAATAAACAGCATCTTATATCGGAAGCTGAAATATTTTGGTCATATCAAGCGCCACGACGGATTGAAAAAATTATAGCAGAAAGCATGGTACCAGGAAGAAGGGGCAGGGGCCGACCAACACAAAGATTGGCGCAGGATATAAGTGACTCCTTGAGTATGGAAGTGCATGAGGCGGGAGAACTGGTGAGAGACCGAATTTCTTTCAGGCAGACTGTAACGAGAGCGACGTTCTGCAAAGGACCTGCTGCGTGATGGTGATGATGAATTACGAAATACATATGAGCGAGGAAGACATACAAATGTGTTTACAGTTTACGCAAAACTACCACATAATCATTGCAGTTTCTGCCGCCGTTTTGCTACGAACCACACAATTCTCTTAGAAGCAGTCGAGATTAATTATACTGTTTTATTCGCACTTGCAAGAGAAGTTTGTGTTTTTATGGTTTCTTCTGTGCTGATTTATGTGAAATGTCCAGTGCACTGACGTTTTGCAAATGGTATGCCGCAGCTACTGGCTGCGCCGCGAATGGTTCGTACGTTTGTGGCGGTATTTTAGAGTTGGTCGAAAAAAATGGGAGATACAGTTGAAGAATTTAAAGTTAGTTGCCTATCTTTTTAGGTGCTCTTGCAGAACCACCCCCATAACTTTCTGGCTAGTTGATGTTACTAGGCAATTTTATGTTCAGTAGTTTGTTATTACTTTTTTTAAATTTTTTTTTACGTTCAGTAGTTTTCCATCGCTGCATACAGTTGTGGACATCACCAATAAATGGTGTGCTGTCAAATAGCATGCAGCTTGAATCGAACACGGTGGGGAATTTACACTTTTAATTATACATAGTTTGAATTGCAACAAAGATTTAAAAAAGAAACATGAATGTGTACAAAATGCTGTTGTGGCACATATGTTGTGCGTTTCTTTTAGTCTTTCTCCCCGTGTGGGTTCTGGGACATCATTGGGGTGGGGGGGGGGAAA